GATTCTCTCCCCCATCCCACTGTGGGGGGTGAGCAAGCAGCTGTGTGGTGCTTAGTTGCCAGCTGGAGTTAAACCACGAGAGCTGGTTAAGCCAGAATAATAGATGACATTTTTATTTAATGCTCGCCACGCTCAGTAGACTTTATATAATATGTCTTCAGTTAGTCCACTGGTTTTGAGTTAAAATTATTTATGCTTCAGGAAGATGTTAGGCAATAGCAAATAGCTAGTCAGCACAGCGATTCTTTTGCATCATTAACTTAGATGTCAGATTTGCATGCCAGTGTATCTCTTGGGTCTGCAAACTTGGGTGTAGTTGCTAAAGCCCGCAGCAGACAGCCCAGTTATTTAAATGACTACAGTTTGGAGTTTTGGCTGGGAAACTCCAGTGCTGGAAAAGGATGGGAATTTGTGTTCTGCTGGAAATCCTGCTGCCCAGAGTGGAGAGGGGATGCCGCCTCCTGATCTGAAACAGGAAATTTCTCAGCACAGGACACGTTTGAAAGTCCTTTTAAAATGTATGTTGCAGTTGGGGGTCTTTTGCTGTATTGTGGGAAAAATAATCCTTTAAACGTCTTGTAAAAACCTTTTATTTGTAATTGTACTTCAAGTAGATTCCAAGAAAAAGTAAGGTAAATATAATTCTGGGTAAAAATTTCGCCCTAAGTAGAAGCATAGCCTTCTTAAAAAAAAAAGAAAAAGCTTGAAATTCAACTATGATTTAGAAAACCAGCGGCTCATGTGTATTCCTACATGAAGAAGCTCCTGTGTAGTTGAACTGTTTTGGTATTATTGTTGGTGAAAATAATTTATCTAACCTTCTGATGCTAAAAAGTTGAAAGCTGAAAGAATTATGAAAATACGAGGTAGAACCATCTTTCAGCACTTGCTTTTTATTTTTTGCACGGTTGCTCTATTTTTTTCCTTTTCTTCGCCTCAGTAGTGCTCATACCGTGCAGTGTAAAAAAGTCGCACCTACGCTATGAGTACACTTGATTCATTGTCTGGATAAGTAGTATTTTTAAAATATATACTGTATGCACATTGCTCAATGAAGTGATGATTTAATTTGTTTGGGGTAAATGTCACAATTACTCCTCTAGCATGACCGGTCGTTGTACCTCCCCCATGTAGATGGGACCTATTTTTCTTCAGTTTAGTTTATAGCCAGGAATTTCACCTGTTCTTGGTGCTTCCCTGGAATTAGCGAGGTGATGTTTGGATTTCAGGCATCATCACAGAGTGTTTATTTGTTTAATTAAATAAGACATAACTTCCGCCAGGCCTTCTCCCAGCCAGCCTGCAGCAGCTCTGGATCTGAGCTTTGCAGTTGCACCTGCTTCTTCTGCTGTTGCCTCTTCGGAGCTGTGGGCTGCTGCTCCCCCGTCTGCTTAGTGCAGATGTCATCCTGCCCAGCGCCTCTGGCGCCTGGATGAACGAGGGAGGCGCGGTGCCATCCGTAGCGTGCCTCTTCGTAGCTCTGTGTTCGCAATACAGTACCGATTCTCAACGTTTCAGGTTCATCGGGAGGAGTACTATAGAGAAAACATGTCGTTAGTATTTCTTGGTTTGTCTGTAGGTTCATATACTTAAAAATATTTAGTTTGCTCTGTTGCGAAGAGATCTTGCAGATTGTGTTAGCAGGTTGTGAAGTTGCAGATTGTTACTGGTTTTGTTGCAGGCCTGCTAATGCCTGGATAATAAGTAAATGTGTGCATTCCTTTTTGGTGAATTAATCTTATTTAATAGTATTGAGATTTGTGAGATTCATACAGGTTTTTGCAGGTAGTGGAAATAGCTTTTAATCATAAAATCCATCTGTGAAGAATGATTCTACGCGAGGCTTTAGCGTTGGATTTTTCTCGTCTGTGGTTTCGATGTGCTGTTTCTCAACATAGATGTGGCTGTTTTGCCTCCTGTGTTTGTTTCGTTATCTAGCTGCTTGACCATGTAATTAGTTTTATGTAGTGAACCTGATTTTACAATTTTAATGATGAAGTATTCTTTCAGTTAGTTGCAGCAGATGCCTGTTTCAACCTTTGTTTTCTTCGGGTGCTTGCTATATTCATTTTAATAACTGTTTTAAATCTGATTCGAGGTCCTCATGCACTATTAATATACCTACATTACAGTGTTTTCATGCAGTAATCAAGTTTCAGTGCAGTTTTGTATACATTGGATTATTGAATGTCTAGCCAGAGAGGCTGGACAAAAAAGCCGTAAAGATAAATAAAAAGCAAGTAAATGAGTTTTGTGTTTAATTAATTGAGAGGTATAGCTTCATGTATTTCTCAAGCATATGAACTCTGTTCTCTCGGATATTTCCTCTCGCATTTAATGTGTGAGCACACATTTAAATAATTTGGAATCTTAATTTTAAAAATATGGTTTAAGACTTAAAAAAATGCATACCAGTGGTAGATTAGGTTAGCTGAGCTTGATTAAAAAATAGATGGAAAGTTGAGGCATCAATAGCAAAGATGAGACTATCACCTGAGTTATTTTACTATTCCAACTGCAGCAAACAAAAAAGATGTGCTCTTTTATCCTCCTTTTCAAATATGCAAAAACTAAGGTGAAAATTTAAGTGGAAAAAAAAAATTAAAAAATAGATGGAAAGTTGAGGCATCAACAGCAAAGATGAGACTATCGCCTGAGTTATATTTTACTATTCCAACTGCAGCAAACAAAAAAGATGTGCTCTTTTATCCTCCTTTTCAAATATGCAAAAACTAAGGTGAAAATTTAAGTGAATTTTAGGGACAGAAGTGTCTCATAAATCAATGCTTTTGTTTGATTCTTTTTTTTTTTTTTGCTCTTAATTAGCATGGATGCTATGGAATATGCGCAGTTTATGAGACAAGATGGGAACCAGGATTTTAAAAATGGAAATTACTCGTTGGCCATCAGAAAGTACGATCAAGCTCTACATATGCTCGGTTGTTTAATGCAATGGGTCCCGTAAGTATTCTTGAATTACAAGATGTAAACCATAAGACAAGTCTGAAATTTGTACAGTACTACAGTTAACTCAGAACTGTATTTCTTGCCCTGACACCTGATCTTCTTGTATCTTTCATCATACTCTTTAGTGTACCAATTTTGTAATTAAAGAGGAATTGCTGTTCCTGACGTATATGTGGGAGATTAGTTAGTGACTGTAGTCTGAATACTTTTGTATAAGCACCAGTTATAAATTAGTGCAATTAATGCTCAAATTAATTTTCCATAAACCGTGTTGGTTTCTGTTAAATTACTTCTGTTTCTTAGCTGACATGCTGTGGATTAATCTTGCTGTGATTCTGCCATGTGCTGGTCATGTCTATGGCCTGTTGTTACGTGGGTCATCTGATTATCTTTAAAATGGTTCACGCAAGTTACTTTGTTCTTGTTATTTGGTCTTTCTTAGTATTCTCAGATTTGTTAAAAAATAATTTTTCAGAAAAAACAAATGTTAAGCGCTTGTTTTCATCAGTTAACATCAGTTGCTAATGTTATTAATGATTAAATAGTTGAGTATTATGTTAACTATTAAATATTTATTACTACCGTGTATTGACATGCTGTTAACCTAATTTAACACCAGCCATTCATTTACTTTGACTATTAGCCATTTAGACTAAGTAGTAAAATAAGTCCGGAGCATATGCAGGGAGTAGGACCGAGCAAGGACAGAGTCGAGCAGGCTACCTCCAGCGCCTGCCCCTCGCAGGCAGTGGGGCTTCGTCATACCGCAGGATGAGACTCCTGAGCGGTAAGGCTCTCCTTTCCCCTTGCCGTAGGTTGCCTCGTCAGAATTTGCTTGCGTGCAAGAGTGTGCTCTGAACACATTCAGCGTAGTTGAAACAACTTTCTTGAGTGTAAATTGGTAGATGAAGGGTGCAGCTCTGTGGCGCATACTGTTTGCTTGAGTGCAGGCAAGGCAGGCTTTCCAGGCTCCCCGGTACCCCGTGGACTGTAGTCCTGTCATTTGTGTGCAGCTCTTTCCAGAAATTCTCTGGATCCAGCAGATGCTTTACATACTTTAGTATATTCTGTTCTCTAAAATACATTTTTTTATTTCTTAGCTGGTGTGAATGTGGATAATTCTGTTGACTTCATGAACAATAAAATGCGTTTAGGTTGTTTTTTGGTGACCAAAATGTGTTCAGCATTCTTTCCATCTAGCAGCTTCCATTCGTGTGTCTGTTTTCTCCCGTTCTTGGCCACTGGCTTTCACTGAGCCGTACCTCGGTGTGTCGAGATGGTCTAAACTCTTTCCTCATACTGCGTTAGTCCAGCGGGTTGGCTTTCTGCTTCAGAAGAGACCAGGATATCCTAACGGTATCACTAAGGTATCATTTAGGATGTCGCCAAGAGATTTTATAGCTGATGTTCAAATGATCTTTGTTTTCTACAACTGCATTTTTACCTTTAATTTTGTTAGGTGGGCAATTTGTAGACTTTTTTCTTTTTTGTCTTGTTGCTAACTGTAAAGTACGATGCATCCTTTTTCAAGCAAATGAACAGTTATGCTAAAAACGTATTTTTAGGTGTTCCAGGGACATAGCTGTGTTACACTGCAACAAATCAACTGCCCTGTACAATCTCGGTAAATGGAGAGAAGCAGTGTGTTCAGCCTACCAGAGCTTACACTGGGATCCGAAGTATGTTAAGGTATTCAGATGTTTAAGCTGGCAGTTTTTGCATGTCTTACTTTTTAAAATAAGTGTCAATATCTGCTTTTTATTGTGTTTTAGTTTTGAGATGTGATAAGCAAATGTAGCATAAAATTCCAGAATCAGTGTCTGACTCTGTGCATAAGCATCAAAATTACTACTGTAATAGTACTTTTAATAAAATGAAGCAGCTCTCTTTTGCACCAGGAGATGCTGGTTCTTTCTGGGTCCCAACAAGAGAGGCACCAATGCTTTCAAGAAAGATAACTATTTTATTAATATCCCAGGCAAGGTGATAGTAAGTAATAAAGTCTTACATGCCCTTTTGATGCTGGAGACCCGGGGATGACACAGCACTGGCCAGATCTCTGACCAGGCCACGGCACACTGCGCAGAACCCATCCGTGGTGAGGTTCACCAGCTCTGTGTTCACTTGTGGTTTTACAGAGCCTGGCTCACGGTACAGATTCATCAGTCACTGACAGCAGTCAGGTCTGGGATGGGAACTTAGCTTTGAAGGCTCCCTTGGGCAGTGTGCCCTGATATTCTTTACATGTTAATAAGCCTGCAGTTCCTGGGAACAGTACGTGGTGATCAAGGTCATACTGTATTTCCAGTGGACAGAACAGTACACTACACATACGCTTGTGATTAAGTACACATTGATTAAGTACACATTGACTCAAATACTCATCTGTTAGGAATAAGTAGCAGTTGTACAGTATTTATGATACGGAGACATACACTTGGGTTGGCTTTTACGTACAATAGTCTTCTGGACTAACCACTACAGACTCCCAGAGACTTTAGTAGAAGGTGTTTGATTTAGATATGGTAAAATTGGATGCAAATATCAATTTAAATTGCGCTGTATTGCAGCATGCCAGTTATCTGATTTGAACAAATTGACTCCATTGTGACTCTGAGCCAGTACAACCTAGTTCAGTGGTGAATATAAACAAGTTCAGGTGCCATTGGCTGAAGAATATATGCATTGTGGTAAATAGTGCACAATGCAGTGACATGGGCACATAAACACATATGCTGGGCCTTGTGACAAAAAAGCCCACCCTGTCCAGAGGAGGTTAAAATACAGTTGCTAACAGTATGTCTTTCATCCTGTAGTTATTTTCCAAGTTTCGTATTCCAGGATTTATCACACTTTCATAGTATCAGTGATGACATCAGCATATTGTGAATTTCAAGGGATGTTTATTGCACTTTTTTTGGATCTCCGTGTAAGAAGCTGTAAAAATAGTACTACATGTCATTTTTATAGCATAATTAGAGAATTTAGGAAAAAATGATAATATTTTGTTTTGTAGTAAAGATCTCTGAATATTTTCCCAACAATGGTCTTTTTTTTCTCCTTTTTTCCTCAGGCTTATTATAGAGCTGGCCACTCACTGACCATGTTATCAGACTCTTATGAGGCGATTTCTATGTTTCATAAAGGTTTGAGTCTCCTGAATGCTTCTGCAGATCGAACTCAAGTTGCTGATTTTGTAGCAGGCATCTTCATAAGTGTCAACGGTAAACTCAAATTAAAAGCTTAACTTTTCTAAGAGCCTTTCAGTAGCGATGACAACACAAGTCCTTGGTAGGGCATCCTTCATGAGAGCGTTCATTTGGTCCTTAGTGCCACAGGTCTGTTTGAGGATTTTGAATATGTTGAGTGGTCTAATCAAAAGGATATGGTGAACTTGGTCCAGTTTGTATACAGCAGATGCCAACAATCCCAAAACACTTGAGTGTGTTGTCTCACAAGAACACATCAATTGTGGAATAGTTAGAAGAGGTCAAGATTCAGAGTCAGGGAGATGAGGTTGGAGATTTGGAGCTCTAGACCCCTAAGGCTTTAGTGTTTTTTGTCCAAACCACTCTGCTTTTCTTTTAGCTCAGTAGGTTTGAAAATAATTAGAAGATACTCAGTTTAAACTCGAGTTTACAGTGCAGTGTATTCCAGTGTGAGGGACTTTCCCTCAGCTAGTAATGGGCAGCAATGAAAAGAGGGAATTTGGCCTTCCTGTGGCATTTTTTTTTTTTGAGCAATGTCCACCCTATGTCTCCCTGTCCTCTCCGCAGTCTCTCCTCTTCTACTTGCTTTTTTGTCCAGTTCACAGGCTTTGTCTGATGGGGCCTGCAGGTGTGCCAGGAGATTTCAGGTTGTGCCCCTGCTGCATTTACTTGAACTTGTAGCCCTGTGTTAAGGACCTTGATTAGCTTTAGCAGCGACTGCAGCTGGGCTCACCCACAAGTGGAAGAACCACCATGAGGTTCATAATGCCTTGGGGCTTAGAGGTGTTTCTTGAGGGCAGGGATTAATTTTTTTTTCCCTTGTTTAATGAAGACTGGCCACTGATAACAAGGTGCTGTATCAGTTGGGTGTCCGGGGATATTTAAGCCCTCATTTGGCATTCCCCTGGGTATTAATCAGTGCTAAAATTGTCACTGTGTAATGAAGTAATTTAGTTAAGACCCCAACTTTAAAAGTGCTGTGTATACTAAATGGTTTTCTTGATTGCTTATTCTTGCAGATGAACGAGTCTTTCCACCAACTTTTCCCCCTGCATATGAGTATATTTTCAGCTCAAGGTTTGATGCACTGATTTGGCAAGCGGTGATAGAAAGGTTGGCCCAGAAGGGAAAATGGCGGGTAAGTCTGTCGCTGCATTACGTACCGCTGCACGGCAGGCGCCCGTGTCTTACCTCTTCAGGGTAAGCTCGGGTTACCTTTAAAATCCAAAAAAATGGATATTTATTGTTCCCTGCTTCAAACGTCTTGATTTTTAAGTCTTGAAAAATACTTTTAGTGATAAATATTTTCTGAAATTCATTTCTCAAAGGGATATAAAGAACTTGAAATCCCGCTTGTCTCTTGCTGTTGTCTGTTATAATTACGGTGCCATCTGGTGTCATTATTCTTGAAAGAAATTAGAGGGAAAACCCACGTGTTTGTTTGTGGTCCCTTTTACTTTTCCTTCTGTATGACAAGCTGGACTTTTGAAGCTGTCTGTGAAAGACCACAAATAAAGGAGCATCTCAGTGGAAGTACGGTGGTTATTAAACAAAACCAGATCATTTAGAAAAATCAGAAGGTGAATCACCTGAAATTATTTTAATACTCTTTTCTATGGTGACTGTATAAAAAAATTGATCATTGTCACAATTACTTGGGTGTCGGTGGCGAGGTGCTGGTGGTGGGGGCTGCAGGGGCCCGGGGAGAGGCCGGGGCTGCCCCGTGCCAGACGCGGCTGGTTCCAGCGGACCCACTGCAGGGCACAGCTGAGCCCCTCAGCCAAGAGGGTGGCCCCTTGGGGAAAGCATGTTTAAGAAAAGGCAAAACGCTGCCTGGCAGAGTGAGGGGAAAAAGTGAGGAACAGCCCTGCAAGCACCAGGGTTGGAGAAGGAGAGGAAGGAGGAAGGAGGCTCCCTTGTGGCCTGTGGAGAGACCATGCAGGAGCAGGCTCCTAACAGGAACCGCAGCCCATGGAGGACCTGCGCTAGAGCAGGAGAGAAGCATGAGGAGGGGGGAACAACAGAGAGGGATTGCTATGGACTGACTGCAGCCCCACACTCCCCATCCAACCCCCTGGCCATGGGCAGGGCCATCTTTCACTCGATCAGGTTGCTTAAAGCCCTGTCCAACCTGACCTTGAATGCTTCCAGGGATGGGGCATCCACAACTTCTCTGGGCAACCTGTAATGATGAGCAGGTTCAGCTTTAGCTCAAACATCTAATTTAAAGCTACCCTCTTTCAGGTTAAAACCGTTGCCCCCTGTCCTGTCACTACGGGCCTTGTTAAAAAGTCTCCCTTATAAGCCCCCTTTATTGAAAGGCCACAATAAGGTCTCCCTGGAGCCGCCTTTTTTCCAGGCTGAACAACCCCGACTCTCTGAACCTTTCCTCATAGGAGAGGTGTTCCATCCCTCTGATCATTTTCGTGCCCCTCCTCTGGACCCGCTCCAACAGGTCCATGTCTTTCTTGTACTGGGGACCCCAGAGCTGGATGCAGTACTCCCGGTGGGGTCTCACCAGAGCAGAGTAGAGGGGCAGAATCACCTCCCTTGACCTGCTGGCCACGCTTCTTTTTAGGCAGCCCTGGATGCGATTGGCCTTCTGGGCTGCGAGCGCACATTGCTGGCTCATGTCCAGCTTTTCATCCACCAGTACCCCCAAGTAGTTCTCAGCAAGGGCGCTCTCCATCCCTTCATCCTCCAGCCTGTATTGATACCAGGGGTTGCCCTGACCCAGGTGCAGGACCTTGCACTTGGCCTTGTTGAACTTTAGGAGGTTCGCATGGGCCCGCTCCTCGAGCCTTCAAGGTCCCTCTGGATGGCATCCCGTCCCTCAAGCGTATCAACTGCATCACTCAGCTTGGTGCCATCTGCAAACTTGCTGAGTGATTGAGTGCACCACGCAATCCCACTGCCTGTGTCATTGATGAAGATATTAAATAGTACTGGTCCCAGTATGGACACCTGAGGGACACCACTCATTACTGGTTTCCACGTGGACACTGAGGCATTGACTATAACTCTTTGGATGCAGCCATCCAGCCAATTCCTTATGCATCCGACAGTCCATCCATCAAACCCATATGTCTGCAATGTAGAGCTAAGAATGTTGTGGGGGAACTGTATCAAAGGCCTTACAGAAGTCCAGGTAGGTGACATCCTTAGTTCTTCCCTTGTCCTCTGGTGAAGCTAGGTGGGTTTTCAGGGAGCAAGGTAAAGTTTTTAGGGAAACTGAGAAAACGGAAAAAGATACAGTATGCATTTCTTGCTTTCTGCTCAGGATGTTGGTGTAGCTGGGGAGTCTCATCCCTATGAATGCAAAGGTCTATTCCTAAAGTGAAGGGTCACTTCCAAGGTGTATTGGAGAGACTTTTAAGGCCTGACCTTTCTACATGGTTTTTATTTCTGAGGAAACTTTCATCAGTCATAGCTTCCCACAGTCCACTCTATATTACATTAATTCAGTTGATAAATGGAAAGGGAGATTCAGTAATCTCTTACTATCTTAAAAAAAGATCTGAAATGTTGTTAGCCCTCGTTTGCTTTTCTACAAGATTTGATGAGGCAGTGAAAAACAAAGTTTCGAAGTGTGCTTATAAGATCTCTAATACTTTTTTTTCCAGTCTTGTCTGTTGTTGTTGTCCGAGAAGAAAGAGTTGCCCACCAATCTCAGAGTCAACCAGTTATCACTGAAGAATCTCTTTGAGGTAAAGTAGCATCCTTTTTTTTTTCTTGTGTTTATTTCTTTTATTCCCGTTCCTTTAGTGAGAGATTTTCCATCTTGTGTGCAAGGCTAAAACAGATCAAAGAAAAACAGAATGGAAAATAATACATGGACTTTGTATGATTATATCCGATAATCTATTTTGTCCCTTTTCATATGAATGTTGAAAAATCCTTAATTTGCATAACTTCCGTATGTAATTTAATGTTTCCTTTAATTTGCTCAAAAGAAATCATCTTCCTCTCAAGTACAGCAAGCAATTCATGTCATGCTTGGAGCCTGAGAATTTAATGCTGAAAAATGTCTGACATCAGTTAAGTTGGATATGTTTTCCAACCAGGACAATTTATGATATCCCTGGTATAGGGTATTATTATACTTGGCTAGCCTGTCTCTGGACTGCTTCATGGTGCCAAGTATGATTACAGGGAGTTGAGCTGGGTGCAGTGTTGGAATTTTCCCTTCCCTCAACGCCCCAAATTTTTGGTAGGTTGCTTTATACCTAGGCAGCAACTGCTAAACTTTCTCCCTAAAGGTTTTGACACTTTCCAAATGACTTAGAGGATTTTGGCAAGATGGAAACATGTAGTCGTAGACCAAGTAGCCACAATTCCTAACACCTTTCACTGAGATGATGGCATCTGCAGACAGCAGAATTTGATCTTTATGTTGCTCTTATGAAACTTGCTCTTTTCTTTATCTTGTGATTCCTCATGTTCTGCAGCATTTGAGAACCTCCCAAGCTTTCTCTGCTGGCAGGATAAAATAAAATCTTCCAGCTGTCATAAACTGCCATGCTCACGCATACTTTGACCGCTGCTGGCTAGCTGTGCCTGCCCGGTGCACGCGCTGTGCCGTGCACGCTGGTATACCCCAGAGGCTCTGCCCACATTGCTCTGTGAACTAGGGCTCGATGCTGCTTGCCTCTGCCTTTGTGCATGGGTATCCCACCAAAACGCTTTGGATGCATGAAGGGGTGTGCAGCCATTGCTTCTGGCCCCTTGGGAACCAGGATGTAGCCGGAGGCCAACTGTGAGCCAGGAGCTGCTGGGAGTTCACCAGCTCTGCCACACAGCAACAGCCGGAGTCCGTAGCAGTAACATACCAACTTTCTAAAGGCATCTCACGGTGTACGTGTCTGTTACCACGCAGTGGATGCCCAGCCTGTTTCAACTGCAGTTAAGTAAAGCATTTCTTATGGACCATTAAAAAATTCTTCTCTGTATGCATTTTTTTGGTTTTATTCTTCCATTTCTTTGTGTGTGTAAGTTAATTAACTGTAGTTCTGCTGTATGTAACCTACTTTTAAAAGATATGGTTACACATTCGTTGAGAAATTCCATTAGGCTTTATGCTGAAGTATACTAGATTTCCTACAGCACTGTGGTTTTCCTGACGGAAGCTTTAGAAGACGTTAACTGTAGGCTACACAGTACATTTGCTTGGCATTTACTGGCTGGCAAATTAACAGTTTAGGGCATATTGATAGATTATGCCAGAATTTGCCATTTGGCAGTTACAGTGCTTGTGGTACTTTTGTCATAATAATTTCAAGTTGGGGCTCTTTCCATAAATGTATTTCAGTTAAGTGGCTGAAGGAGTGAGCGGGAGTAATTCTGAAAAAGGTAACGCAAAGGAAATAAATCTACATCTATTCATAGGCTTGTTTATAGTGATAGCAGAAGAATTGTTGAATGAATATATGGAAGCATGCCTTGGTTAGCCATCGTTAGGCAGGTATGTTGTGTTACTGCCAGCGGAGTAGCCCATATAGGACTTTATGCTACCTGCCATCACCCATCGTGTGCTTGCTCAGTTTTTTGCGGGAATGGAGGGTGGGTCAGTGTTCGGTCCTGGATCAGCCAGGCCGGACAGCCGCAGGGCTGTGATGCTAGAGCAGCATAGCTGTGGTGGAGACAAGGCAATGAGAGCCTCGGATTAAAGCAGCTCCCAAGCAAAGGTGCCCACTGCTGCTGCCGTGGTTTGCAGCTCTTAACAGCACCCTGGCCTGGGGCACAGCAGCAAAGCAGTCCTGCAAGGGGTGAACGTGCTTCTCACGCTGACAGTAAAGCATGGCAATGCAGTAGAGGACACATGTAGGGTGTCTTAGCAAAAAATCTTCCTTCCTAGGCAAGCAAATCAAAATGCCTCATTGAGAGAGGAGGATAAAAGTGGGTTGCCTTTGCAAAATAGTATGTCCTTCATTGCTGAATTGGCCCCACCAGTCTTAGCTATTCTAGTGGCTTTGTTGTACATGTGGAAGACTGAAAGAATCAAGATGAAAGATCCCTAAGCACTGCTTCTCTTTTGCAAAAATTAGAAAATGTGGCTTTCTGACAACTGAAACTTCCCCTGCTGCCACTACATACTCCCTGTAACGTGTTGTATTTTGATTTTGTAACTGTGCATAAACGGTAATTCTTGCCAGTCAAAATTTGGCATGAGGTGTTAGAAAAAAGGATTTATTTGTGGATGTTGGAAGCCTGTGTGAAGACTGCTATTTAAAAAGATGACTGGCACAAATGGAGAAATTATGTCTGAACACTGTTGCTGAGCACCCCCTCATGTCCTGATCCTTCTGGCATATTGTCTCAATTTCCATCTGAGCTTCCTCTGCCCACCTCCAGAGTTCCCCGTATTGCTGTACCCCTTGTAAACTGTGCTTCATGTTCATTAAGTCCTTGCTGGAACATCCTTTTTCAGTTCAGCCGCCTTCTACTTAGGCTGTGTGCTTTCAGTCTTGGTCTGTAAACTTCCCTGTAAATTCCATACTTTTATCAGATCACCTTCTAGGAATTTATCTGGCCAAAAATCTGTCTCCTAAGGCTTAACACCTTTTCTTTGCGTGAACAGTCATATTACCATTGTCGTCTTAATAACACCAGATGCTTCCTGAGCTGGGTGAGAGAAGGGCTTTGTCCTGCTCTCCATCCATGGGGTTCCTGAGCTGTAAAAGGACTGGTTACCTGAGTTCGCTAAACCTTCTTCCCCCAGTCTCTAACTCCCTTTTCCCAATTTCAAGTATTTCTCCAGCCTTTTCTTGCTTTGGGGTAACTGCCCACATAAGCTGCCTCAACCAAGCTTAAAAAGCACAATATCCGGTTACAGCAATATTTGCACTGAGATACAGTAACATTTAATAGACAAGTGTAAGGCAGAAAGTTGCAGTCAATTACAGAGAAGAAATATAGAAATACGTATTATAAAATAGACTTCAGATTCAGTGCTCTTCAGAGCAGGACAAGATTCTTTTAAGATTCATTAACATCTCGTAGGAGAAAAGTTTGTTTTGAGCTTCTACTGGAATTGTTACATATATAATAAATGTTTCATTTTACAGTGGATATGGCTTGATTGTTATTGTTCTGCTGATTTTTGTCATAAAAATCACGAAAATAGGATTAAAAAAGAAATGCTTTTTATGTATGTAAAATAATGTGTTGTAATTGTTCTCTTTGTTATCAGACTTCTGAGTTGTATGGACATGGTGAGAAGATGCAAGAAGTAGCGGAGTTAGTCAAGTGGCTAATTTCCATTGGGGCGAAAGTTGAAACCATTGGAGTGTATCTGCTTCATGCTGTTATCAGACTGTGTATCAAAGCAAGTGAGTGACATCTGCACGTAAAATAAAACCAGGGTGGCCTTCATCAGAGAACTGACAGCTAGAGCTTTTCTAGATTTTTTTTTTTAAACTAATGAGATCAGATCATCTAGGTATAACCTTGCATGTGCCAATAAGGCACTATTTTTAAAATGTTGTAAACACTCTCATTTATCATCTGTGCCTGATAGTGGTACAAACCTAATAATGGTTGTTCTCTTCCGTGGTTTGAAGCGAAAATGTGATTGATGTGGGTCTTTCAGGACCTGAATATATCAGCTTTGATGAAAATAAAGTATTTCTTCCTGCGATCCCAGTGGAGCAACAGTTTCTATACGTGCTAAAGAATGGTGAGTCAACCTCAGAGTTGCACATGCTGCAAGTCAGCAAGAACGTAGCATCATGTCTCCCACAATGCAGCTGGCCCTTACGATGATTTCATTTACTTATTTCTTCCCTCTCCTACTCCCCATGTTCGAGAAAAGGTTTCATACAGATGCATCTTGCCACTCTACAGGGGAAAAAAACAGGATCTGTTTCTGCTGTATCTCTGTTTACCATTTATAACAAGTGGGTTTTTTTGATCATTTCAGGAAAGAACCATCTCTTCAGGTGGTTACTGACTCAGAGGCCAGACTTGAAGGGTAGGATCAACCAGCAAGACAGAGATGGATGCACCCTACTGCATATTGTGGCATCTTCCAGTGAATATTCCCAGAAACGCAGTAAATACAATTTTTTTTTGTGTGTGTGTGTGTGTGTTTCATTTCGGAAAGATGAATAATGGAAGAAAATTTCAGACCCCGGTGTTTACTATTTCATGCTAAGGAAGAAAATGAGAAAGTCCTGTTATCTGAATATAGACTTTGTAATGGTAACTAATATTTAAACATTTCAACAATTCCCTTTTAAAATTGTATACCTGATTTGTGACCATTTTCTTTGCTCTTTGATTTGACTGGTTATGATTTTCCCACAAGTATGCTGCAGTTTTTAGAATCATAGACGTTACCTTTTAAAGTTTGGTGTGCCCTTAAAATCATATTAGACCACCTGGAGACCTATCCTGTTCTTTTGAATAGGCAAAGATTTAAAACCTAAGTAGCAGTGTACCTTGTCAGAGGAGGAAAATGAAATGCTTTCCTGCACGTTTTCTGTGGGATTTCTTTTATGTTAATTTAGCCTGGCTTTTTTCCTTGTATTTCTTACTCTGCCCACTAAGTGGCAATAGGAAATAAGCATCAATAAACAGCAGACTTTTAGGTCATTAAATGTGATGACATTCTGGTGGTTCTCATTAATAGTATAAATGAAATGAGCACAACCTATATCTAAGTAATTTCATTTTCTGGAAAGGTGTAACACATCTTTTGCAGCAGTTCCATCTGTTGCTAAATGGCTCTTGCATTTCCAGAAGAGACCGTGTGTGTGTATATATATATTTTTTTTATTTATTAAAGT